ATAATTGGTGAATCCAATGTGAAAGATTTGAAGTAGAAGATATTTGGTTTTCTTGGATTATTTGAATTATGGAGAAAGAAGGCAAGAAAGTTGAAGAAGGAGCTATAGATGGTGCATCAATTGGAGCTATTAGTAGCAAAACTAGTGAAAGATAAAGTATGTCTTTTGATCCCAACTCTATAAGCATATTTGAGACTTTTGCCTTATTCATGCAAAAGTAACATGTTAAAGATCACAAAGAGGGTATGGCAAACAAAACATTATAAGTGGTTGTGGACAAAATGAAGAATCGACAATAAATTAGAAAAAAGAGGCAATAGGATTGCTTGCAAAAAGAGAAAGGGAAAAAGATAGCATAGGTATTCAAACATCATTGCAAATACCTCAGGTAAAAAAGCCTATTATCAATCCTATATCTATAATTCAACCTTCAATGGCTATATAAAAGAAAGAAGAAATGGATATTGATGAAATTATATGAGAGATGAGAGATTTGCAAATAAAATTTGTAAAATTTGAAGAGAAGGATCAATCATCAAGAGTATCAACAAAACAAAGGATAGGATCAATAGAAGGTATAATACAGAGGTGCATGTGGTGTAATAGCATGGATCATTCAAAAAAAAATGTGAGGATTTTATAGAGGCACTACATAAACAGATTGTTTTTTTTGAAAGAATCCCAACTCAAGAAACTTTCATAGTTCTAATTAACTTTCTCTATATGTCAATAATACCAATATCTTTTCTATACCATGTTATAAAAGGCGTCTAATAAATCTTGTTGTTTTTTGGATCAATAAGTAAACTTGAAAACAAATCTTAATAAAGACATGCTCTAAAAAACTTGGCGACAATTCAAAATACATATGAACATGAAGTACTTCATATTCTTGTGATTCATATATATGATGATTTAATTAGAAGCGTCTTCTAGATAATGATGCCATTTTTAAAATGAATACACAAATGCATGTAGTTCTTTGTCTTTAATCTTATAGTTAATCTTGGCTACTAAAAATTTCTTAGAATAAAAAGCTATCAAATGGAGCTTGTTATTTACTTCCATTTGTGATAAAACAATATCCATGGCAAATTCTAATGCATTTGTTTCTATGAAGAATGCTTTCAAAAAGTCAATGTAATAAAAGATTAGTACATAAATAAATGTTACCTTCAAGACTTCAAAAAATGCTTCAACTTCTTTGCTCCATATAAGTTTGTCTTTACATATCATGTATATAAGAAGAGTCATAACTTCAAAAAAAAAATTGATGAAGATTCAATAATAATTAAAAAATCTCAAAAAATATTATATATTTTTAATTATTTTTAAAATCTTCCAATCTATAATAGTTTCAACCTTCTCAAGATCTATTATAAGATCATAAATTGAAATAATATATTTTAAGAAGTCAACTTGAGTAGTATAAAATACACACTTTTTCATCTTAGTATGTAATTTTTCATTTCTTAGTTTTTGTAATATATAACAAATAAAAACGTCATACTCTTCACTATTCTTAGAGTAGATGAAGATATCATTTAAATAATAGATGAAAAAATTATGAAGAAACTTACAGAAGACATCATTCATTGGATGTTGAAAAATAAGTGGTGCATTTGTGAATCCAAAAGGCATGACATTATATTCAAAGTGCCCATACTTGATTCAAAATGTAATTTTCCATTTGTCTCTTTTTTTAATATATATCAAATGTATGCTCCTTGTAGATCTATTTTTGTATATATCTTTGTTTGATTTATTGATTAATAAGTCTTAAAATAAATGATAGAGAATATATATTCTTGATGGTGATCTTGTTGAATCTTTGATAGTCCACACATATTTGTAGAGATCCATCTTTTTTCTTCACAAATAAGATAAAAATTATAGCTAAAGATTTAGAATGGCATATAAGTTCTTAATTAAATTTTCATGAATATATTCCTTGAGTGCAGCCAACTTGTTTTGTGATAGGTTATAGATTGGATCAAATGGTGGTTGAGCTCCTTCTTAAAGATCATTAGAACAATCATAAACATGATGCTTTAAAAGAATATTTGTATTTTTTTTTTTTTTCTAAAGACATCATTAGAATCTTAATATTAGCTTAGAATGCCACTTGTACTTTTTCTCCATCAATAGTAGATGTGGAAAATATAATAAAATTTGATTCTTTTTTTGTAGCATGCATGAAAGTTCTTGTACCTACCAATAATTGTCTTGATGTATTAGTCTTATGGATTTTTACTTGCTTAGTAGAATCTTAGACTAAAGTATGGAAAAAATCAAGATTGTCAAAAATCTAATCTATTTGTGTATTATATCTTTTTAAATACAATGATTCTAAAATAATTAGATTAAAAGGAGATCTAAACATATTAAATATTATTAAATTATTATAAATTTTAGTTACTACTTCTATAGGAAGAGTTTTATGTATAACATCTCCAGAAGCCAATGAATGATTATTTATTATTTCTACATGCACATGTTTGATTTTTTTAATTTAAAATATATCTTATTTTTTGATAAAGTCTTCATCTATAAAATAAAATGAGGCTCTTCAATCCAACAAGGCTAAGACTTTGTGATTTTTAGTCCTAAAAAAATTTCTATTGTAAAACAAGGTGAAGGATCTAAAGAAAAAATAGAAATTTTATTAAGAATTGCATAAGATTTCAATGGCATGGTCTCTATTATTGCTAGAAAAATTTTCCTCTTTAGCAATCATGCTCCTTATTTAATAACTGCTTTGTTTCTATATAAAATATTAAGCATTGTACTTGAATTTTCTATAATATAGGCACAAACCTTCTTGACAATCAAAAGTCTTTTTTTATTCAATAAGAGATTCAAAACATATCAATTTGCATTGATTTTGGCCTTAGTGAATAAGTTTTTGAAAACTTGAGAGTTGCCATGATTACTTGATTTGTTCTTCTCTAAGAAAATCTTTATTCCTTGATGCCTTTTAAATAATCAATTATTGTATGTAATGGCTTGAGTAATAAATTGCTTTAAAGATTTTACTTTTGACATTATTAATAATAAATCTTTAACGTTGTCTTTTAATCCATGTTGAAATTGATTGACTAAGGCTTTGTTTTTTTAGTCCATATTGCAAGCAAGATTTTGGAATTCAATAGTATATATGGAAGCTAACCATGATACTTGTTGTAAAAATAAGAACTTGATTTCTACTACTCTTTCTTGATCACTTTTTTTAAATGTGGCCATAAATACTTGTAGGAATGAATTCAAATTATATAAGAGTCCTAGATCTATTTTATTAAAAGTGTCAACCAAGAAAGACTACTTCTAGATAGAAGGGCGCTTATGAACTCAACTTGAGTAAATCCATCAAGATATTGGAAGAAATATAATTCTAGATAGAGCTTGACTTATTGAAAAAATCTTCAAATTTTTTGATCTTCTTCTATTATACTTCTCGAGCATACTAATCTTTGTACCAATTATACTTGTAAAAGAAAAACTTCCTAAATTTGATTGTAAGGTCAATTTATTTGTCTTGTCCAACTACACAACTTTTTGATGTGGACTTTGAATTTCTTCTATAGGCACATAATTAGTATTTATTTGATTGAAGCTAGTGATGCATGAAATCTCCACCTTAGCAGTATTGACAAGTTTGTGAAGATCTATAATAGTTACAAATCTATTCTCATTTCACCTAAGTTTAGCATCCATAATTTTTCTTCCCATTTCAAATAACTAAACAAATCTATAAATTAAATTAGAGAAAGGTAATCTACAATCTATAATATCAAATGAAAATTTCTACAAAGAGGGATAATTTTCTTTTTTAAAAAAAATATTAGTATTATAAAATTAAATAATTTATTTAAAAGTACATAATTTGTAACCTTTAAAATGTAATAATAGACGTAGAATAATCTATTACTTCTAAAAAATAAGAACAATGAATTAGGACTCTTGTCAAATTATCAAGGACATGAATTTTGAAGAAAAAAATCTTCAATACACTCTTGTATGAACTTTTGAAAATTCAAAATATCAAGTTATAGATGATAACCATAATTAGCAAAGAAAATTATTTCTTGAGTAGAAGAATGTATTGTGATATTAAAAAATAAATTCAGCCAATAACAAAAAAAGTTATCCAATTGTCTTAATAGTAATTGATGGTATACCTCAAATATTACTTCAAATCTTGATTCATTCATCTTGTTTGTCTATCATTTTAGGATAGAAAGCCAAAGATAACTTTATATCTACTTTCAAAGACCCCGCCTTGGTCTTGCACTACCTCCTCGGCCGGCGCAGCCCATTTCCCTCCGTTTCCCAGAGGCCCCCCTACAATGCAAAGAGAGTAACCGGAAAAGAGTGTGCGCGTCAGTGGACCCCGAACGTCGACTGTGGGGATGGGTGGAAAGCCCACCCGCCTTGCCACGCTCTGCCTGAGCTGGCGCTGGTGATGCTCGATCTGGAGTTGGATTTTGAGTTGGACGCAGCCTCCCCACCCCGCGGGCCACCTTGTCAGCCACACGCCGTCCCGTCGTCCCGTCGCTTTTTTGTATTTCCCCCGCTAACCCACGCCAGCCCATCCCACACCCCTGGACGCTGTTCAGTTACGAGGTGGATCCCAACTGACGCCGTTTTCTGTGTGTTTGTTATTATTTTTGGGGTATTGTTACATATTTGTCTGAAAAACTGTGTTCTTGAGTATTGGTGGAATTTGTTTTGTGGTTTGTGGCGTATGTTTGTTTACTTATGTAGCTTTATTTTTCGGCATTGCAGTTTTCATTTCTTATCTATGAAAACTTGATTTTGTTATTTTGTTTATTGTTGATGTTGTTATTATTGTGTTTTTTTTGAAATACACGTTTTCGTTCTTTATCACAGATGTCACTGCTTATTTTTATGTACCAGTGCATGCTTGTTATTGGTTGATTGATTTGTTTTATCGTGTTTTTTTTTTTTTTTTTTTTTTTTTTTTTCCCTTCTCATTCTCATTCTCATAGCCTGTTGTCGTTTTCATGGTGGTGATGACGATGACCATGACGATGATTTCCTGTTTGTTTGAAAGAACACAGCTTCAAATTTCAAGATTTCCCCTTCTCTCTTCACTTGCCCGTTTCTTAGAATTGTGTTCATCCATTGATCCATGGATTTGAGTGGATCTGAGGGAGATGGGATGGCTTTGTGCCAGGAACACCCATGGTTGACTCCAACATCAACATACAGCCAATTCACAGAACCCTAGAGCCCTCACGTAGACCTTGTTTTTGCCTTCTGTCGGAGGGCTACTTCTCTTTCTGGGAACAGTGCCAACTCAATGGGCTACTTAATACCTTGATTGTTATTCACTTCAACAGGAGCTTGGGTTGAACTGCTCTGAGTGTGTGTTGTTTGTGAGCGAGTGGCCGAGCTGGGGTTATTTTTATACTTTATATTTTTATATCTAATAAAATAGATCTTTAAAATCAACTATCCAGATTTTACATTAACAATTTTCTAAATCATGTTGTAACATGTTTATTCATATAAATTAAAATTCATTAGATGTATTATAAAGATCTTTTTATAGATTGAAAAATAAAAGATAGTATTAGAACCGAAATAATTTGGCATCATTTTTAACAATAAAATTAAAACAAAAATTTAAAGTATAAAATAAATTTTTAAATTTTATTCTATAATTGCCACTTAATATTGTCTACAATTTATAGGTGCTAAATTTATCATGTTAGGATGTTCTAACATGTCTATTTTATTAAGATTCATAACATATCTGATATTTAAAGGATCTTGATAGGAGTTTCTATCTTTACATTAGCTACTCAAAGATAGCTTTATATCTCCGACCCCCGGGTGTGGCAGGAGACTTCTCCAACCCACCCACGGAGTCTCTGCACAATCCGACTTCGTGCAGGGACCACCAATTGGACGCATTTGGACTTCGTGCAGGGACCACCAATTATGGCCGGTAGATTCCAATCCTAAACCTGGAATAGTGCAGGGAAGGCGATGGCAATACCTTCTATGGGCTCTTCCATTTCATGGTCCGGATTAATGGGAGTAAGGTGCAACTAATGGAATAGTATCAATTCATGGTAAGGAGCACGAAATGGAATGACCACTTCCATGGCCCGGACCATGAAATGGGAGTAAAGTGCTTCCATTGAATAGCACATTACTCCCATTGGTCCGAGCCATGGAAGTGGCCATGGCAATGAGATAGCCACTTCCATTGGTCCGGACCAAAAACGGAAGCACTGCTTCTTTATTTTCACCCCTTGCATTTCGTTAAACAAGTCCAGGGGCGTGGATAATTGAGTGGAACATCGACTCATCCATCCATTCATCAATCCATGGATTAATTCGTTCTCTCGTTCATTCGTTCATTTTATGCGAGAGAAGTCGCGGCCGAACATTTATTTGGTCCAGTCGAAGACGACGAGGGACGAGCCAGCTGACCTGTTTGCCATTTTCGAAGGGCCACGGATCAGCGAAGGCTATAAGTTGGAGCGCGAGTCCTTATATTCCGTCATTGTTCCTGCCCCGATCATTTCAGCGGCTGCGAGTGAGTGATCGAGTGAGCAAGTAAGTGAGTGAGTTCAGTCAGAGGAGGTGGAGGAGGTGAAGGTGTTTTGATCAAAAGTAAGTTGAGGGTGGCATCATGAGTTTCTTTCAGTGCTTGAGTTGGTTGATTAAATGTGAGGAAACCAGATGGTGTTGTTTAATGAATTGTGAGCAGACTGTTGTGCGTCTGCCGCTTTCTCGCGGAATGACTTAGCTGTTTTAGCGTCGTTGAATGCTGGGGAGTCGTAGAGGTGGATTGAATCTGTACAGTGCATCATTTGAAAGTATCTTGTGTCTTGATGTGTGCGTAAACCAAAGATCAATCTCGTTTGAAATTGGTAGTTCCGTCAGCAGCAGTGCATGAACTCGACGGTGTTCGAGACTCCTTACGCATTCAATGCCGTCTCTAGATTTGTGTGTGTATCAGACAGCTACCTCATCAGAGATCGATGGTTTCGTTGAAAAGAACGTTGGAGCCGCACGCAACTGATGATTGGCAGCATCGGTCGTCATGTGTTGGAACGGCTCCCGGAGCGCGTCAACTGAATTCACTATGGTTTGCCGGACAGTAGGACAGAACCTGCCGACTGCTAACTGGGTTTGTGGTGAATGTAGGTGTGGCCATGACTGCGGATCACGTCCGTGACTGTGGAGGTAGGCTATTGGGAGTGGTAGCCAGCATGGGCCGTTGTGTGATGGACCTGTGCATAGGCACGGGCTGTGCCTTTCGGCGTGGCTGTGCAGGTTTGGCTGCTGCTGGTGACAGCATGTTGTGTTGCCTGAGACAAGCTCAAGCGAGGCCGAGTGTGGGATCGTGGGACATCGATGGGGGATTACAGGGTCCCGCTTTGCGGCGGTCAGAGATGGGAGAATGGTTTGCTCCCCTTGTCTCAGAGAATGACTGGGGTGCACTTTAGAATCGCACGATACCGACAGGGCACTCCCCTACACCCAAACCAGGGGGAAGTGAATCTTGTGGATCAGGCGAGGACATCCATCCAGGCGAAGGGACATGTGTGTGTATTAAGATACTTGTCAGTCCAAAGATTGCACAGTGTGAATCAATATACGTGTGTTTTTCATGATTTATATCTAACAAGGTTGTGTATATTAGTGTCGAAATTATAAGGCTATTCCAAAACATTATGCTCCAACAAAGTCCCGTCAAATTGCATATCTGCTCCTTATTTAACATGTTGTGATGACCATGTGCAATCACCCATGCAATTATATTTACCATCTAATTGTTTACCAGAATGTTATTTGAATTTGAAACCATCAAGAAAACAGAATGTACAAGACATATAAAGATGTGATTAAGATAATTGAGTTTTAAAAACCATATTAGTGCATGTTTCACATTATAGTGTATAAAATTGGAAAATAGTATTGTTTGGATGAATATTAAAGAATTTGAGTTCTATATGAACAAAAATAGATAAAAAAAGATAAACTATGTTGCTATTTTTTTCATTAATATTTCAAAATATGTATTTGAAATTGGTGGTTTTTATTTTGTTTAATAAGCTTACTTTTGCATTGAAAAGTAATGAATTTGATTGCTTCTAAAGAACATTTGAAATGATATATCTTGAAAAATCAAATTGAATAATGTAAAATACACATTTTCCATCTTAGCCTATAATCTTGCATCTCTAAGTTTTTATAACATAAGACAAGTATGAAGTTCATGCTCTTCTATGTTCTTAGAATAGATTAAAATATTTTCTAAATAAGAGATGATAAAATCATCAAGAAACTTACAAAAAAAATCATTTATTGTATGTTGAAAAACAACTAGTATATTCATGAGTCCAAAAGACATGACATTATATTTGAAAAGTATATACCTAATTTTACATATTTTTTTCATTTATGTCCATCTTTAATATGGACTAGGTTATATACTTCTTGTAGATGTATTTTTGTATAAATCATTTTTTGATTGAATTGATTAAGAAGTCCTAAAATCAAAGATAAAGAATATTTATTTTTGATAGTGATCTTATTGAGTCCTCAATTATCTACACATCTACAAAAGTTTTTTTTTTTTTTTTTTTTTTTTTTTTCTAATAAGATAGGAGCTTTTGTTAGAGATTTAAATTGACATATGAAGTTTTTAGCTAAGTTCTTGCTAATATACTCTTTTAGTATAGTCAACTTATTTTATAATAAGCTATAGATTGGACCAAATGGTTATTCAGTTCTTTCTTGAAAATCATTTGAATAATTATAGTGATGATATTCTAGATGAATATATACATTTTTTTTAAATGTTGTGATAATCTTTGTATTAGCTTGAAATACCACTTGAAGTCTTTCTACCATCAAAAATTATCGAGGACATGAACTGAAAGATGATGCATAAATCAATGAAATCCGTATCAAAGAAAAAGTGATAAAATAGAAATGAGGATGTACATATCTTAAAAGATACTAAAATGGTTTATTGCCAAAAGACAAGAAAACTTGAGATTCTTGAAACTACACTAGAAGCAAGAAAGGAGTTCACAAGAGTGATGAAGGCTTCACTCTTATCTCTATATATACTATCTAACTAGAGGTTATATGGCAATGTTCTATAGGACCTCTAATATGTGTTGACTTTGTAGGAGACATGCCTTGACTTATAAGGCAAGTTTTTTTATGTGAGGGTCATATAATTAGCTTAGTCTTTAAACTAACGATATGTGTGGCACATGGCCAACTTGTTGACCACATTTCTAGCCTAAAAAGTCAATTATAGATACCTATAAAGTCAAAGTAGTATCTATGAAGCTTCTAAGAGGCTTCTATAGAAGATATTATAGAATTAATTTTACTTTTACTTACTTTTATTTACTTTTACCTATTTATATAAGTAATTACATGCTTACACGTATATATCTGTGACATTACTCCTCTTTTTAGAGATGAGTTCTATGAAGAGCAGTCATCATATATTAAAAAAATCTATGATGCGACAAATTGTATTCGCTTCATACTGAGATCTTTATTTTCTTTGAAAATAGTTGATAAGGCCTCTCAACAATCGATAGTGTCCCATATAAGAGCAAGAAGACCACCCTATTATTTGATTGTTGTTGAGGCCTTCATAACTTCTTTCAAATAAAATATTTAGAATATCGTCAAGAATTATTCCTACCTCTAATAAAATTACAAAACATTGGAAGTCTCTTCCAAGGTTGTGATACTAAACGCGTTATATTTTGCCATCTATTCAAGAAAAAATATGTCATTTTTGAGAATCTTCATCTCAATTGCGTCGTCTTAAAGGTTATGACAATTACAATGTCTTGTTCGATAGGTCCGCAAAGAAAGGCTTTTCAATTGAATCTATTGGTTCTTGATTCTCCATCTTTTTAGCATCATAAATACAAAGGAGCTACAAACAAGGATTGAAAGTAGAATGTTATCTTTTCTTGATCTTATTTTTTTTTATAGAAAAGATCGTGGAATCTAAAACTTCTTTCATTTTGAATTATTTATTATTGTTTGCTTCAATAAGAGGAGGTGGAGCTTGTCTTCTTCTTGGTATGTTTACTATCTTGTATGGTTCAAGAAGAGACATGTAGAATATTGGATGGATTTTCATTGATTCTGGTAGGTATAATCGATATGCAACTGGATTGATTTGTATAGAAATAGGAAATGGTCCAAGCCTACAATAGTCTAACTTGTCACAAGGATGAGTGGTCTTAATATTGCCATGAAGTAACCATACCTTGTCAACCACATAGAATGGTGGTTGTTCCTTTTGATAGACATCTACATTGATCTTTCGTTGTTCTTGAGCTTCTTTTAATTACGCCTTCATTATTACATGTAGCTCTTACAAATAATTTTTCAAATCTTTTGTTGTAGGATTATCAGCTTTTGAAAAGTTAAAAGTATCAAGTCGTGGATGATAATCATAATTGGTAAAGAAAGGTGTTTGTTTTATAAAAAAATATACTGTATTATTATAAGCAAACTCTACCAATGGCAAAAGAGTTGTCTAATCATCTTATTCGTAGTTGATAGTACATCTTAAATATTACTCCAAAACTTAATTAACATGCTCCATTTATCTATCAATTTAAGGATACAATGTCAAAGATAGTTTTATATCTACTTTTAGAATCTTGAAAAGAATCTGCCAAAATCTTGATACAAACTAAGTTGTCCTATCTAATATAATATCTTTGGGTAATCCATGATAGTGATAGATTGTCAAGGACAAGAATTTCATAAAAATAAATAAATAATTAAGAATTTCTTCAAAAAAAGATGACAAAATAGAAATAACTCAATATATATATTAAGAAAGAAGGTGAAATGGCTATTATCAATAGACAAGAAAAATAGAGACCCTTGAAACTAGACTAGAAGCAAGAAAGGAATTGACAAGCTTGAAGAGGGCTTTACTCTTATCTCTATATATACTATCTAATTAGAGGCTATGTGGCAATGTTCTATAGGACCTCCAATATGTATTGACTTTGTAAGACACATGCCTTGATTTACAAGGCAATTTTTTTTTATGTGTGAACCACATAGTTAGCTTGGTCTTCAAGCTAATGACATGTGTGGCACATGGCCAACTTGTTGACCACGTTTCTAATCCAAAAAGTCAATTTAAGATACCTATAAAGTCAAAGCAGTGTCTATGAAGCTTTTAGAAAGCTTTTATAGAAGTTATTATAGAATTAACTTATTTTTACCTATTTTTACTAACTTCTACCTATTTATATATATAATTATTGGCTTACATGCATATGTCTATGACATAGATATTGTCAAGAAAGAATTTAGTTGTTTCTTCATGTATGATAGATTTTGTACATGGTATAAAATGTGCCATCTTCATAAAATGATCTACTATCACAAATATAGAGTCATAAGAACTTGAGATTAGAAGATCCATGATGAAATCTATAGAAACAAAAGATCATGGTTGTTTTGGAATGGATAATGGTTGAAGAAGTCCGTACAATCAATGATGAGGAGTTTTTGATCTTGAACAAATGTCGCATGACTGAATAAAGTCTTTCACATCCTTTCACATTTGTTTGCCACAAAAAATCTCTAGATATAAGTTCCAAAGTCTTGTTGTATCCAAAATGTCACCTTGCTAGAAAGTCGTGACGTACTTGAAGAACACATAATTGTGCTTCTCCTTTTAGAACATATAATCAACCTTCAAAATATAGTAGGTTATTTTTGAACTCAAATTTAGAAGTATCTTGGGACTTAGAAGAACGATTCTTGATATTGTGAACGAGAGGATCAGAAGACATACTTGATTGGATTTTTTTCATAAGGGTGAAATAAACAGTCAATGTTGATTTCATTACTCGAAGATGAAAATGCTGTGGCTTCAAGAAAATTATTCTTTAGTGATCAAAATATGCATCTCTTTCTTAAAGTATAAGATAAGAACATCTAGAAAATGCGTCTAACAAACCTTATTATTTTCTAGGTCGATATGTGATCATGATAAGGACATATTCCAAGGAGCTTGGTAACAATTTAAAACATGTGCTAACATGAAATACTTGAGATTCTTGTGATCTGTATATACGATGACTAGATTAGAAATGCCTTCAAGATGATGACGCCATTCTTGAAATGAATCCACAATTGTAAGAAGCTCTTCATTATAGATTTCATAGTTAATCTCTGCTGCTAAAAGTTTTTTAGAATGAAAAGCTATTGGATGAAGTTTATCATCTGCTTCTATTTGTCATAATACAACACTCAAAAGAAAGTCTAATGCGTTTGTTTCCATAAAAAATGCATCAAAAAAGTTGACGCGATATAAGATTGATATAAAAATAATAGATAACTTTAAAGTTTCAAAGAATGCTTTAGCTTCTTTTCTCTATTTCAGTTTATTTTTATAAGTCAAACGTATAAGTAGAGCTAGAATTTAAGAAAATTCTTTGAGAAAGATCTGATAATAATTGACAAAGCCCAAAAATTATTGGACATCTTTTACCGTCTTTGAAATCTTCCAATCTATAATAGTTTGAACTTTCTTAGGATTCATCACAAGTCCATCATTTGAAATGATGTATCCTAAGTAGTCGACTTGAGTAGTGTGGAATACATTTTTTTTTTTTTTTTTTTATCTTGGTATAGACTCTTGTATCTCTTAATTTTTATAACACATGAAAAACATATAGTTTATAT